CCGGTTTAGCCTGTAACTGAACTGAGCTTTTGTTTTGGAAATGAGCTGATTTGGGTTTCACTGCGAGAAGCCGCAGTCACATTGACTTGTGCATATTTTAAAACCCCGAATGAACTTTAAAGGACTTTAAAATACTTTCTAAATATATTCAAATTTGAAATTTAATACAATTTCTGATGTGCTTCTCGCTCATTCTAAGGTTAAACCCCACTACTGACTAATTTCCACATTAAGTGGTCCTGTAAACAAATCATTAACTTTTAAAAAATCATGTAGAGGTTCGCTGTTGAAATGCACAACACTTGTGATCTTTTTAAATGGAAGTTCTTTTCTTCATATGAAACCCACGTAAAACACTTTGATCCTGCACACAGGATGCAGAGCAGACAGAGAAAAGGCTCAACTTGCATGCGAAGTAGCAGCTTACAATAGAAAGGTGCATGTCATTATAAATGTATAAATATTAACAAGATCTACATGGACTTTTGAACAAGTGGTAACAAAGAAAAAAAAGACACCACAGTTTTTCTTGTTTTTTTTTTGTTTTTTTTGAGTAAGGCAGCACTTTCTGGAGAGAACCCAAGCTCTTAACCTTTAACCTCCTTCTAACAGAAGCTGGGCATCAGTAAAGGATAATCAATCATTACAGCAGATATCAGACTGCCTGATCAGGAAAGTTCTAGACCTGCAGATATATTGCAGTACCTTGCTCTTGCTCTAACCACCTGATGTTTAGCCAAAATCTCAAAAACTGTTGCTGATATTTTGGATGTCATAGAGCTGTGACATCTTTTTCTTTCTTAACTTAGTCATATCACAGCAGATAATCTTGTCCTGTAACTAGTCAAACAGGAGATAATTGTGCATGTTTCATCTAGGTCAGTGTATCCCAGCATTGATCTGACCAGTGAAGTTGTTTATAATTTGGCTCTACAACTAATTATGTATTGTAATATTTCAGGTTTCTTCAGTTTCCCTGGCTTTATTCCTTTGTTTTCTGGTTGTTAATTGTTCATCAGTAGCCATGAAGCCTCAGGCTTAATCTTGCGTGATAATGCTTTACTCGTCTCAGCCTGTCTCGGTTTGTGGTCACAACAGGCCGGTTAGCTTTAACGTCTTACCTGTGGGAAAATGTAAATTAGGTTTGCTGCTTGATTCCTGGTGAGAGCGTGAAACGATGCTCAACTTAACATTTAATTAAGAGATTCCCAGAGATTTTCTGCAAATTAATCTTTCACACGACCTGGAGAAGAAAACTGATTTCAACCAGTGCAGCTGTTTTCGCTCGACACCTGCTTGTATGTCCTGTGCACCTCTGACTCTTTTCTCTGACTCTTGTCTGTCAGATCAAGCGTAAAGGTGAACAAAGCAGGGGACTAAGGCAGGATAACTGTGCCAGGGGTGAAAACATTCAGAGAAAAAGGGAGAAAATGACTCGGGGAGATGGAAAGTGAGATGAGTATAGGGCATTTCCTCTGACTGGTCAACGCCTCGGTGCTCCCACTGAAGACCTATCGGCCATTTTAGGGGAAGGGATCTCTGCAAGTGTGTCTCTGTCAGGCTGTGTGTGTGTGTGTAAGTGTGTGAGAGTTCACTGGTGTTTGTCCTCTCGCTGGTGTGCTCTGTGTGTGTTTGTCTTTGTGTCACACAGTAGTATGCTGTCACTGCTGCTGCCTGGAAGTCATAATTGGTTTGATAAGTTTTGATTCATGACAGCTGCCAGTGTTTATTTGAGATGCGGCGTCTCTCACTGGTTTTATTAATAATACTCATGTGGATGTGGTGAACTGACTTCTTGTCCGGCTGGTACATATTTTCTGTATCGTGATACACAAAAAGATTTCATCACAGTCACTGATTTTTCTTTATAAGTTGGCGTGCGTGTCTATTTTAAAGCTACAGCTGGAACGTATTTGATTGTTTTTTTTGCTTATTGTTTTGTAAAAGCCCAACATGT